GCAGCCAGCTTGACGTACTGTTGGACCATCACAGCTTCAGTACCGATGTGTTAGGACCGAAGCCCAAACACATTTAGTATTAACGAGTTTTTGTTGGAGTGGGAGCCCAAAAAACCGCTGTAGATGCAAATGTCTGTCAACCTCTGCAAGCCAAAAATCAGGGTCGAATGAGGGTATTTTGCATTAGAAGCCCAACAACAAAGTAACTACTCAATGTTTTTGAACCTGGGCATGCAAAATCCACGGTATTTAAAAGAGATGTTCCCATTAGGAGCCTAACAGCGATATTAATACCGTCTTGACTTACTTTTCTGGTCACTCATGCCTGAAGCACTGGTCTCGACACAGCTGTTCAAAGCATGTTCCTGGGATTCCGCGGTTTCTTCGGCCACAGGTGCGGGTGCTAGCCCCCGTCGTCCACATGGCGCATACACTATTGCTATATACATGTTAAAACATCACGAGATACACAGAACATACAAGTACAAACTCCAAGGTCGCCCTCACAACAAACACCGTTCGAGCAAGCTCGCACGGCCCCTCGAATGCCATCAAGGTGCTGGAATCACCAGCGAATGGCCTGGGGTGATTCTGCGGAAAATGCAAACACACTCCAAACAACATGGTGTTGCAATCCAAGCGAGTCAATATCCACATTTGCACAAGTTTAATTTGCTGTTAAGCATGATGAAGGTGCTGTTCTGAAAACGCTCATGCCTTACACATGACAAATGATGACACAATCAATCTCCTGATCCTAAATTAAAGCTTTGACTAACCTGTATAGCAGGGTTCCGCAACATAAAACAATAAATAAACAACCACTATACGCGGGGCACGTTGAATTGGCACTTCAGGGTGGGCCAGGGCCAGCAGATTCCAAGATCGCGGCAGTAGTTCACTGCGAGGAGCACTTGGCGAATGTACCGCGCCACCTGCAAAAACGGGGCTGAGACGAGGCCGGTTGGCCATCCGGCTTAGGAGCTAGCAAAGAAACGTCGCTTAGTGAGCTATTGAAAGACCGGAAAATGGTGAAGCAACTGTTCAGCCAGAAACTGCCCAGCCTGCCCGTAACTGGCCTCTGTGTCTCTTTTTTTCTACACTTTTCCCAGGCGCCCCAAGAAGTGGCGCATCAACGAGCGCTCTGAAAAGTAACCGGACGCGGTCCCTCGGTTCGGTGAAGAGCGCCTGCGACACTGGCAAGCCAGCACCTTGGAGCAAACATCGGTTCACCACGGGAACGGGAAGACGGGCCTGTCTGCCAACGCCCCAAAAAGAAACGAGTGGTTCTGCCAGAAGTCTGCGTTTCAATCCTTCCAGAACTGGTAGACTTCTGGTGGGAGGAAGATGCAAAACAAACCATCAAGAAATTAATTGAATCAAGAGCCAAGAACATGAATTCTGTCACCGGGTGAATTCTGTCATCATTGTCGAACAACCTTTGAAGCTTGTTTTGGCTGGTCCCTGCAACCTCAAACGACCTGGTCCCGGGTCCCGTTTTGTATTCCGTTTACACTGTGTCTCAAGCTAAAATATGCTAAAATGATTGGTCAAATCCTGTGAGCTCCAAACGCTGGTCAGCATCACTGGAGCTGCTCATCCCTCCGAAAAGGAAAGGAGGAACACTAATGTCGACTTCTGATTTATAAATGGCCCGTGAATAATACTACATGTTTTCAACAACACATTTTAAATGGCCCCCAAATACTTTTTTTTTGACCATTATTTTCAGCTGCTTCCAGACCTTGATTCATCCAAACTGATTCTGAGCTTTCAGCTGATTCCAAAACCTGATTCTTTTGGTGGTTTCCTTTACAATTCCGTTGGGTTTCCTTTTGGTTGAAAGGCTTTAGCTTTATTGAGGGCTATGGTTATTTGGGTTCAGCCCCTTTACAATTCCTTCAGCACTGCTTACATTGATTGCTTTCATTTCCTTTCCTTTCCTTGTATTTTCCTTTCATGTTTCATTGCCTTTCCTTTCCTGTAATGTACTTTCATGGTTTTTATTCCTTTCATTTCCTTTTCAAATCAAAATGTTTCTGGGATTTTTCTGGATTTCACATTAAGTTATTTAGGGCCCGCACTTGATCAGGGGTGTTTTTGTTGATTCAGAGGTGCGCATTACATCCTGCTCATGTGCTCATGTCGGCTCGTCCCTCAAATCCAACCCAGTTTTGGTACAGCTAAAGTTGCAATGTCAACTCTGGAACTTTGTCATTGGACCATTCGTCATGGCCATGGGTTCTTCGTCATCGACCGGTCGTCGACCGCTTTCAGTCGACCCGCCTTTTGAATGAGGGGTTGTCATGCTTTGGTTCTCACGTCATCAGTCACATCATCAGTCACTCAAGGTCACACACGACACAGTTCGCACGTGGTGAGGTTTGATTCAAAGTTGATCGCTTTTGGGCCGGGGTGAGTGTTGCATCGCTTGGGGTCTCCTACAACTTACTCTAACCAGCAGTCACAGAGCTCGGGGCGCTTAATCATGGAGGTAGGAGTTGGGTGCCCCGTCGTCACATCCACGGTCCCTGGATGGGACGTTTCACACCACCCCATCTTGTGACTCCTGGCTTGTATTCTTTTTGGCACTTTGCTTAGGAGGTGTGGAGGTCGGTGCAGTAGCCTCCATCACACCGAGCACCGACTTACTTACCACCGGAGCACCAGTCCGAAAGACGCGTCACCGACTCCTCCCGAAACGACGTGTCACCCGTCCTTTCACGTCCTTTCACGTGTCGAGGGACGGCTTTGGCTGATCTCCTGTTGAAGATCGCCTCCGGCGCAGGATTCACCTTGGAGCGACCGCCAAAGGACGGCCGCGACCGGGTTCCGAGAATGGCATGGAATGAATGGCATTGGACCATGCGGAAGCGACCAAATATGCTTCCGGTCTGTTGGATCTGGTCTGTTTATACCTGTTTGGTTTGCTTTTTTGTTGATTCACTGAAGGTTCCATCAGTTGGATCAGGTCGATCAACATCCGTTCCTAAGAGACATATTGAAGACCGTCACTACAAATAGGCTCGCGAGGACACACGAGGACTGTTTTTTTTTCTCATGTCATGATGTCTGCAATCAAGACCATCTGCTCTATTTACTCGCTGAGGGTGTTTAGCCATACTCTGTTTTTGAGCTACCCTGGTTGATTCACATGGCTTATATTGTCCTCTGCTTCACCTGAGAGCCCCTAGAGCCCATATTTCACCCTAGTTCACCCATCAAACCCGAACATCATCTTCGGCCAGAAGACAAATGACGTAGAAGGCCGGATCGTGAGGGCCTGCACGAAAAAGCGGGAGGAGTGAGATCGGGTGGGCCTTTGGGATCCACAGGAGGGTCTCGTACCGAACCTGAGACGGTATATGATGTGGAATCCCTAGGGTACAGCAAAGAAGCAAAGAGTTTGGGGAATCCATTGGGATACCCACATCTCGCAAGGCAGCTTTGCTCTCCATAGAACTTGTAGTAATTACCCCCAATGAGGCTAAATCGTGGTGTGTGCTGTGGTATGCGTGCTCCGCAATCAAAACATGATGTTTAGCACATGGCGTAGGATTAAGTCTCAGATTATTGGCTCAGGTTTCCTCAGCGCTGGCAACGATTTGGATCTGATCTAGTCTATACAGAAACAAATGCATCTGCGACCTTTTGGCATCACACCGCCTCTTAATGCAATAAGCTCTCTAAGCTCTCTCTCTCTCTCTCTCAATCTCTCTATCCGCGCGCCACGCGCCTCCATGTTCGAAGTGATCAAAAATACCTCAGATCAACAAAGACCCATACCTTCCCTCCTCTTCTTCGATGCTGCGTTCTCCGGGTTCGAACGTCTGGACCTTGCGCAACGGCGTCCCGTCCCTGGGTCCCGTCCCGTCCGCCACCGAGTGGCGGAGGATGTGCGGATGGTCTAAGGCCTTCAGCACCGCAATCTCCTCAGCACGTCGGTGGGACTGACGTTGACAGTCGTAGGGACGTGGGTCTGGCTGGGTGTCATTGTTGTAATTGAGGATCCCCATGTTGGCCCTTATCCTTTTCTTGACTCCTTGTCACTCAAGGTTGACTCTTCATACGTGGACCCTCACATGCAGATCGTGGTCTCATCATGTTTCAAGCTTCTTCGATGCCTTGTTGTTTCATCGGCAGTCAATGCCAGCCCTGAAGACTTCAGCTCCGACTTCGCAGACCAAGACGCGTTTCGGATGGCGTTGTGGTCCGGGGCAGTTGCTTTGGTAATGACCTGGCGGGACTGCCCTGAGCGTCTCTCCCCCCGCAGTGACGAACGCCCGTGACCCGGACGAGTACAACTTGGCTCGCCAAATGCTTCTCTCTTGGAGCATGTTCTACTTTTTACAGGTCCTTCGTGATGCTTCCGGAAACAAATGGAAAAAGGGATGAAAAAGGCTCTTCCCTTCAACTTCCAGAATCACCCTCGCACATCCTCGCACCGGGTTCTTTTGCTCGGTTCTAGCGCTAGTTTAGTGGGTAGAACATCGCCTTCCCCACTCACCACACGTTTCCCCCCCAGACGCGCCCCGCCGCCTTGCAAACCACCGCTTGCCCCGAGCGTAGATCCCGCGCGTCGTACACCAGCCCGAAGGCGCCTTGGCCTGACGATGTCCGGTAAATTCAGTATAGACAAATAAACCCTATGAAACCAAACCACCATTATATATTGTTTTAATGGTCTGAAACCCATTGAACCATTGTCTTAATAAGGATGTTTCACTTCAAACACCACTGCAGGTCGTTCCCATTCTTGTAGCTGGTCAAAAAAACGGTTCAGGCGGACGGATCAACGGATCAACGGTTCCCGTTTGGGCTCAACCGTCGTACCTTTTGAGGTGGGTGGATGATTTGTTCTTGAAATTCTTTACGAAGACGACGAAAATGTTGTTTTCTTTCGGAGCGCATGGCGCAATATGACTGTTTTTTTCAGAAGCGGAACACGGACCCTCGGCAACCAGAGCGCTTGTGCTGGCGTGCCGAGTTCACGCCAGTCACTACATCAAGGTGCGGCCACCGGGCTGCGAGTTGTAGGGATTTCTTACACCAAGCCTTGATTTCATCTTTCTGACTGCCAAAGTTTCCATTGATCTCACCTGCTCCATGCTCAAGCCACAAGCTTCTTCAATTTCGGACAAATCAGCTGTCTCTTTGAAGTAATGATATGCCAGGATGATACCTTCTTCATACGCAAAAAGCCAGTCGGTGCTGCCGATATAATCAACAGCGATGCGGACTATACTGTCTGCACTCATTCTTCGCGGATCTGCCCAGTGTAGGAAATGAATGGGCACTTGGTCCGAGTCAATTTCATAGCATTTTTGATAGATCTTGTATGTGGAGTCTGAGGTTTCACACACATGTATGTACCTCATGTCCTTTGACCCCATCATATCAAACTGAATTCCTGTGAGGTCCAGCACAAAGTCTGCCCTGTTCGCACCCCAGCAGGAGAACTCCAGCCAGACATGGTTTCGTGCGCCGCAATGCACTTCTCGAGAATGCTGCCAATAGTTCATCCCAAAATCCTCCTCCAAGGTGAGTTTTCGATATTTGTGAGTGACAAAGCCAACACACAGTTTCATTGTGCGAACTTTCTGTCCTCTAAATACTGGCTGTTGCATGTGTCCATGTTTGACTGCATTGAAGAGCTCCAAATACAAGTAGGACACTTCCGAGCAATGACCGCCCAAGGCCAGTTTGTAAAACAGACGCTCTGCCTCATCTGGGCTTACAGAGGGCGCCCAATTGCGCGGTCCCAAAGGTCTGCTGACTCGCCCTTCATACGGTATGAGAAGTTCCTCATCTTCCTTCTGCACCACAAATCTCAATTTTCGTACGACGGGGTAGTGCTCCCCGTCCACAAATGTCCGCACCACGTCGTGTGCAAAATCCAGCACATCTACATCCTCTTCATCCTCTACATTGATGTAAACACCACCGGAGTCTTCAGAATCAGAACTTGGTTCCAACTCTGACTCCAAGCTTGCATTGGTGTCATCATGGATAGCTTGCACAGCCAAAAATTCACGAAAAAAATCTGAAATAGCTATAAAATTTTGCTAAATCAGCTACATCTTCCAAATCTGCTCGAAGCTTCTTCTTTTGACGCCACCTTGCAAACTCTTGCTGTGAGGACCCTCTCCTGCGACGGCCTCTGGCTGCACAAGCCACGCGACAAATGAAGACCTCAAGTTTGGCCCAAAAGGAATGGCCATGCCAAACACGTCCAAGTGAACACCCAAGATAACAAACATTTGACATGTTTAGCGGGGTGGTGTTCAACTTACATACTGTCCATCATTGCGATCAGTGCCCCAAGGATCGTGTTGCATCTCATCATCCCATCAACTTGCATATCGTGCTTTGCAAAACATAAACAATCATCTCTTATCCAAGGTACCTCTCTTGCTTGCCAAGTGCAAATAGATGCAGGATAGGTAGCATGGCCATGAGGCTTCCAAGTCCGCGGTGCGGAACACCAGTGGCTTGAGCCACCCACCAAGCGCCACGGAGCGGACCACTGCATGAGGTCCAGCTTGAGCCGGCATGGTGCAGTGGATGGGAACATGAACCAGTTCAGACTCAAGCTTGGTGTCCGTACGGATGATTCCCAGTACAACGACCAAAAAATGAACCGTTCAGCTCTTAGACAAAGAGGAGCTGAATAAATCCATCCTCTCACACTCTCACACACAAAAAGAGGAGCGAAACTCTATAACTACTGCAGAATCTTCTTGCCCTCAACATCTCTCAACTAACACTTCCAGCATCCTTTTGTCCGAAGTTGAGGATCCATCCCCGTCCCTCCCCCTGCTCTTTCCGCCGCACCGCCGCCGGCCAGTTTGGGGGAAGTGCCTAGGGGTCGAAGCAGGCGATAGATGGATTGCAGCGGTTCACCTGCGACGCGAACCGCGAACCGGTCGGCCCGTCGAACCGGCTGCGGGGGTTCGGCGCCGGGGGGGGGTTTGATTCAAAGTTGATCGCTTTTGGGCCGGGGTGAGTGTTGCATCGCTTGGGGTCTCCTACAACTTACTCTAACCAGCAGTCACAGAGCTCGAGGCGCTTAATCATGGAGGTAGGAGTTGGGTGCCCCGTCGTCACATCCACTCACTGGATGGGACGAGCCACACCACCCCGTCTTGTGACTCCTGGAATATAATATGTATAATCAGTTCTGTATATGCATGTATGTATCATCTATGATCATCTATATCACTGTAGTCTATAGTCTCTCATATCGGGCTTGCAACCATCTGCCTTGTGTTTTTTTTCGCCAGGCAAGTGGTAAGTGGCTCATCAAATTCAACAAGTTCATCAACTTCGTACCGAAGGCATGCGACTTCTGATTCTTTCACTACTCTCCCCAAATATTTGATGACTGCTTTAGCCGCCAGATTTCTCAGCTCCCCACTCGACCACTATATAAGTGAACATCACTCTTTCGAGGAGAACAAACACACTCTCTCCAGTTCGTGCCATTTACTCTCCTTGAAGTAATCATGGAAGTGGACACCCCCCAGTAGAGGAACACAGTCTTCCAAGGGGCTTACCGACCACACAGAACCTCCGATTGATCGAGAAGATCCACCTGCTTCGTCTTCACCCACCGTGTGACTGGTGCGGTGCGTCCCAAAAACGTCGAGTCGGTGTGCGGAACGACCAGAGACCTTGGAACCTTGCCGGATCCCAAAGATGACCAGGGAAATACAGGTTCACTTGGGGGTGCATTGAAAAGAAACACCTGCCAAAGGCCAAACATTGGCTGGATTGGAAGGACAATAGAGCCATCTACACCTTATGATTGGCGACCAAAAGAGGTCTCCCATGTCTTGAGTATACACATGCCATGTGCGTGTTTTCATTCAGTTTCTTCCATGATGTCTTGTGTCCAACGCGCCCCAGCAGATTCACCTGGAAATGGATGATCCGCCCCGTGCGTCCGCCCAAAACACCTCACCTCGCGCGCGGATGAGGTCCGCTTTGTGGATGCCCTGGATGGAGGCAGCCGCGAACGACCCGGGGCGGATGGGAAAGAGCCGATTGGAAGGAAGCGATTGGAATGTAACTATCAAACCCTGAATTCAGCTTTCTGCAGAAACCAATTTGTATAAAATGTGAATCGACTACATACATTTAAACAACAAACCAATATGCGTGTCTGGAGGAATGGACATCTCGGTAAAGGAAAGAATCACCCGTTGCATGCGTTGATGCATGCAAATTGGTACAAGGGTTCGGATAATTTCCATTTCCATTTCCATGTACGGCTAGTGCAGTGAAGCGCGCCGCCTCGCAGTATGAATTCATGTCTGTACAGCGCCGACGTAGTCAGGGCCGTGAGTCAGGTGCTCACACTTACTGACTGAAAGGGTCCTCATCCACACATACTCATCGGGAGCCGCATCCAAGCTTCGCATTGGGGTCTCAACCGATGAGCATAAAGTTGAGCGATCATGGCGCACAATTCCGCCGTATACTCCTTTAATTTGGCTGTCTTAAAGGAGCCGCCAGACTTTCCTATCGTGGAAGATGTGGGCCTCTTGGAGGTTCTGCAATGTAGCTCGATCTGTCGGGCCGTGCTCGGCATGACCCCACTGATCAAAAACCTAGTAGGCTTTCGGCTCACTTGGCCATAGTATCCCTGTTCGAGCCGCATCTCAAAGAACAGGTCGAGCTGCCTGAGCCAATCTAGAACTGCAGTCCTCCATATCGTAGGCGAAGCTGCTTTGGAGCTGTCATGTAGCCCAGGGTCGTCTGGATGTTCTAATAGGGAAAATTCCCCTGAAGAGCTTGTGTCAGACAAATCCTGATGGCAAAAATCATAAGCTGGTTGCCAGCATCAATCTGCAAAGACTCTCGTTGGGATAAGTCAATGAGGCCCCATGGCTCAATTGCTGTGCGGAGTGGTCTGGGACCACGTTCTGGGGCCATGCCATCGGCCTCCCTAGCGACCGACCATGTCTCGCATGGTGGCCCAGCGAGGAGTCCTTCAACCAAGCCCTCCCGTGCAATTCTCAACCACAAGAGCTGCGTCTCATGTTGCAGTAGATCACAATACTGACCTGACACCATAACGTCAACAGACAAAACCCATAGTGTCACACCTGCTTCTGGTTCCAGTGCTTCTAAAGCATCCTGCAGGTCGCCCTTGCGGCGGCGGCCACTGTACAAGTGCAAGAAATACTTTTCACGGAATGATCTAGATGGCCGGCACGGTTTGATTGTGCTGAGTTGGATTGCCTTTCGCTCATTCTCGTTGTCTAGATTCCAATCATCAAAAGTAACATAACGAAGGCAAATGTCCGAAAATTCCCTCCGGATCCTCTGCCCTGCTTGGAGAAGAGCGGGATCTGCATTAGGCCCGATGTTATTGCTCCATCTCTCGAAAACAGCAACAAGATTAGGAAAGGGCATGGGCATGTTGCAGGCCTCCCTGATTCTGCAATAAACATCTTCCGCAAACCCTTCGTCTTCTACAGACAAAGTAAAATTGGCAACCGCTTCTTGCAGATTCTCCCATAATTGCACATCATCCCTGTGCTCTCGGTCATCATGTCGAATTGCCGGCTGGTTGGTATATATCCATGGCATTTGGTCATGCACTCTTTCTTGGGATGAGGCACCCTCGTTGTGTCTCCAGGCATAATGGCGACAGGCTGCACTATATTGCAAATGGTGTTTTAGCTTTTCTTTGGAAAAGTATTCCTTTGCACAAACAGGACAGCTGGTGCCGGTAGCCGCCTGGCCTGCCATGGAGATATACGAGTGCTTATAGTGAGCGTGTAAAAACCACGCTCGCTTGTTGCAGAACGGTTGGTCGCAAAGTAGACAATAGTGTTGTGTTTGCGTGCTCCTGCCTCCAATTGCGCCTCCTGCCTCAGTAATGACTTTAAGAATATCGGCATATGCTTGTCGCACTCGGGCTTGGGTGACCCGGTAATTCTTGTATCGGCCAGACACCTTTTTGATCAGACGCTTCCAAGTGAGCGGTTGCTCAACAGCCAGCTTCTCCCAGGCTTCCCAATCGTAAGGTGGAGGTGCCCCCTTGTCTCGGCCGATTCCTTGCCAGAGCCACTTTAGTGCCTGCTCATACGCCCGTCTTGCCTGGGCATCCTGACGTAACAAAGCCCAGACAGCATTAGGTGCACTTTTGATCATAGATCCTATGTGGCGAACACGAGCGGTCTGGAGGCGGTCAAGTGGCGTCGGTATTGCCAGGGAAACAAGAATTTCAGCATTAGAGACGTGTCTCACCTGCATGTCACTTGAGAGTGGACTGAGTTTGCGAAACATCCTGTAGCAAGCTGTGAGCCAATTTTTTCCACTCTCCCTCTTGAAGAATGGGCCAAGCTCCGCATCCCCATTGGAAGATCGACATGACAGTCGCCTCAAAAATCTGCAGCCGAAGATTCAGGGGATAGTGCCTGGATCGGAGGACTTTCTGTGAAATTCGAACAAATGCAGCATTGGCTTTGCCAATTCGTGCGGAAATCTCCAATCTCATGTTGGCTTTAGCCGCTACTATTCCCCCAAGATGCTTGTATTGCGTGACAATGGGTATCAGTACTGTCTCCTCTTCAAGGATTACTGGGATCTGAGGGCTCTTGGTCGCAAAAATCTTCCTGCGAACCGCGACAGCATCTTTTCCTCGAATGAAGAGCAGAGCCGCTGTTTTGGATGTGCCAAAGGAAGCCTTCAAGCCCACTCTGGCTAGCTGCATTAGGAGAGCCTGTGCGGCCCTCCCTGTCTGCGCGACTGCCTCCTCTGGCGATCTCAGGGGCAATAGCAATGCTAAATCGTCAGCCCATGTGGCATGGCAGGCGGTATCTTGACTGTCATGTGCAGTGGGGTCCATTGCCTCAAAACATCTCTTTGCATTTGCAGGCACTGTAAGCGCCAGGCCAAGGTTAATGAGTTCTTTTTGGACCTCGTTGATTACTTCGGCAAAGAGAATGTTAAAGGTAATGTCGGCCCACGAGTCTCCCGGCCTAGTTCCTACTAGGGTATGCACGAATGGTCCCTTTTCAGTCCAGAACCAGGTCCCGTTGAGACTTTCTTGCAGGAGCCTTCGTTCCGGTTGGGTACCCAAGAGTTGCTCGTGTGCGGATTGACCATTCAAAGCCTGGTGCAATTTATGCATGACTTCAGGTGCTAATCCTAGTCGGGCAACTATGATGGCAATCTCTTCATCACTCACACTTGCTCCAGTGGCGAGCTGTCGGAGTACCCGGTAGAAAGCAGAAGCAATGTCACAGAACAGGATAGCGCAGCATGTGCCCGCATTCTTGTGCGTGGAGATGAAATGGCGCACCATTTGTGCCCCAAATATGACACTTTGTGCGGGCTTGCCTCCAAAATGGGTATCAGTGCTGTTTTCAGCAAAGGCTCTATTGACCTTGTGTCTCATGCCTGCTCGGATCGCTTTCCCAATGGTGCTCATCAACAGGATTCCACGAAAACTGGCGCACTCTCGAATTGGGCCTTTACCCTTGTATAGTTTGATCAGTTGACCGCCTTTCCACTGAATTGGCTCGTGCAAGCGAACGGCAAATTTGACCAACAGGGGGA